CAACAGTTAAAGTGCTAGCACTATTGATTCACTCTTCACTTGCAGTGTGAATTTAGATAAGTACTTTTCAACTATGACCAGTGGTAGGAATTTCAGATTCTAGATATGGATTGTGGGATATTATTATTTCCCTCAAATTATAACCTCTTATGTTTTTTTGAAGAAAGTGTCATGTATCTCTTATTTATAGTGGTTCTTCAAAATTTGGCAAAAAAGTCTGTGCAGTTGATGAAACTCTAGTGAGAATGATGAATTATAAATAGGAAGGTGTTTATGCCAGAATGCTGGAATCCTATTTGCACATGTCCTTACTGCTCTTTGTTTGAAGAAGATAAGATTTTATTTTTATGCACACAATGAAGGCTTATAATACTATCACATGTTTCCAGAATTTTAAAATATATATATATAAATAGAAACATCAAATTTATTCAGGTTTTAATCTCAGAAGTCCTTTTTTTGCTTTATTAGCTTTCAGTAACTGTATTAACTTTTTTGGTTTATCAATTTTGCTTTACTACATAAATGTATAAAACTGCTTTATTAACAACTTCACAATACATTATGAACATCTTTCTATACATTATGTAAAACTCCCCAGCTGACAGAAACTTACACAATGGGTCAAAACCACAATATTCATTTAGAAGCTGGTAATAGGAGAAGCATGAGAAACATGTCACATCAGAAGGTTTTAAACAATACATAGATTGACATGAATACAGACGTGTAGGGGCCTCCCTATGAAAACATCAGGATTCAGGGTACCAGGCAGAACTCGTGATAGTCTTGTGGAGGGGCATCAGTGCTAACTGCCCACAGGCTGTGACTCGGCTGTTTTTCTGTGAGATTCTGCATCATCAGTCTCAACTCCTCCCCAGATATTTTTATATTTTCTTCTCTCATCCCTGCCTGTGGCTCTCCAAGGCTATGTGTCATGCCCCATCCATAGTGCAGGGCAGGCTCTGTAGTGCAGAAGCGCCAGCAAGTTCTTCTAAGCGTGAAGTATTCGTCAGTTTCCAGAGGGAGGGTTCGGGGCTTCCTTTTATTGGCATCTTGTTCTGTTTCATATTTCACCTCATTTTTCTGATTGGCACTTTCCACATTGAGATTCTTTTTTCTAGACTTCTTGTTCCTCTTTGGACTTCAGTACTCCCGGGCCCATCCTTGTGTCTCCCCCGTCTCCTGATTCTGGACACTTAGCAAGGCAAACATGCCCCCCACCCACCTCCCACTCTTCCTGGCTGTCCTGGCCCGCAAGCCCTCAGGACCACCAGAAACAGGTAGCCCCTAGAAATGGGCAAACGAGTGGTGCATCTGACACTGGAGCAAGGCATGGTTGCAGGGCCTGTAGGTCTATTTTTTTAACTTATGAAGCTCAGAGTGCTAAAAATAAAACAAATACAATGTCAAAAATGTGCTAAGTGAAGGTGTAAAGGATACCTGCCACTTGATATATTCATTTCTCATTGGTGACTGAATTGTCTGATTCATTTATTTACTAATTCACTCACTCATCTGGGGTTTTTTTGTTCATACTTTGTCTCTATGTAGGTAATATATAACTCCAGCCCCCTAAAATTTGTTTTGTTACCTTCACAGCAATAAGCAATACTAAGTAAGGATCTTAGCAATGTACTGATTTCTTCCATCCAATGTAAATCATGTAATTTCTAATATTTTATACATATCACCACCAAACACTTAGATGTAGTATATACTGTGAAGAAAATAACTATTTTATTTCCTGAAATTTCTCTTATAACTTGATAGAAAAGTCAATTCATCAGCTTTTTTTTAATCTTTTATTTAATGAATATAAATTTCCAAATCCATCAGCTTTTAAAAACAGCTTTATTAAGATGTCATTAATATTTAAAACATATATTTAAGGTTTACAATTTGATGTTTTAATGTATGTTTACATTGTAAAATAATGACCACAATCCAGTTGATTAACTTATCTGTCATATATCTATCACACACACATATAGTTGCCATTTTTATGTGCATGTTTGTGTGCTTGTGTGTGTGTGTGTGACAATATTTAAGAGCTGTTCTACTAGTAAATTTCAAGTATACAACAGAAGCCTATATTATTAACTGTTACCACCATTCTGTATGTGACATCTCCAGAACTTATTCATTTGAAATTTTGTACCCTTTGACTAAGCCTCCCCCTTTCTCCCTACCTCCTGGCAACCACAATCTATTCTCTGTTTCTGTGGACTTGGCTATTTTAGATTGTGCACATGAATGACATCATGTAGTATTTTTCTTTTTCTACCTTATTTGGCTCAGTATAATGCCTTTCATCTCCATATATTAGATACAAATGACAGAGTTTCCTTATGTTTTAAGGAATCCTTAATCTGAAAATTTAAAATCCAAAATGCTCTAAAATCTAAAATAAATAAAGATTTATTTATTTATTTGAAAGAGTTACACAGAGAGAGGAGAGGCAGAGATATATATAGAGAGAGGTCTTCCATCCGATGGTTCACTCCCCAATTGGCCACAATGGCTGGAGCTGCGCCAATCCAAAGCCAGGAGCCAGGAGCCTCTTCTGGACTCCCACACAGGTGCAGGGGCCCAACGACTTGGGCCATCCTCCACTGCTCTCTAAGGCCATAGCAGAGAGCTGGATCGGAAGTGGAGCAGCTGGGTCTGGAACTGGCGCCCATATGAGATGCTGGTGCTTCAGACCAGGGCATTAATCTACTGTGCTGCTGCGCCACAGCTCCGGTCCCATCTAAAACTTTTTGATAACCACTGGGAGATTCCGAGTCTGACTTCCTATGATAAGTTGCATCCAAAATGCTGGCACACTAAAAATATGTAGAATATATCCAGGCTATGTATATAAAGTACATGTCAAACAAATGAATTTATTGTTTACATTTAGATTCCATCCCTAAGATGTCTTATTATATAATTATTATGCAAATATTGCAAAATCTACCACCCCACCCCCACATAAAATCTGAAATCTGAAACACTTCTGGTTCCAAGCATTTCAGATAAGGGATACCCATCTTGTATTCCATTGTGTATATTTGAGTGCGTATACACACACACACACACACACACAATGTCACATTTCCTTTATCCACTCATCAGCAGAAAGATGTTTGCCTGGCTTCATATCTCCATAAAGGAGAGTGCTGGGTTATACAGGAATTCTATTTTTAATATTTTAAGAGATTTCTTTGCTGTTTTCCACAATCCAGGAGTGCTTTTCTTGAAGTTGGAACACAAATTTTAGCAGTGATTGATATGGGAAACCCTGGGGCAGGCGTATGGGGTGGCATGCATGAAGTTAGAGGAGTACATTTGTAGCAGAGTTCAGTTGTGAATGTATGTGATACTATTAAATGTACAAAAATCAGAAGTTAAAGAACTTAGTAACATTAAACTAATGAAGATAATTAGAATTTTCATGCTGCAGAGGAACTAGGGTGTGTATTGTATTACCTCATTTTAAAGATAAGGAAGCTGAGGAGGAAAGATAATAAATGATTTGTATAACTTTCTATACTTTACTCACAACTGAATGTATTTACACAGCTAAACTTGGAAAAGAAACCCAAGTTTGTTTTTTTTTTAGAAAACCTTTTATTTAATAAATATGAATTTCAAAAGTACATCTTTTGGATTATAGCAGTTTTTCCCCCTATAACCACCCTCCCACCTGTAACCATTCCATCTCCTATTCCCTCTCCCATCCCAACTCCTACTCTCTCTCCCATCCCATTCTTCATTAAGATTCATTTTCAATTATCTTTATATACAGAAGATATGTACTTAGTATGTACTAAGTAAAGATTTCAACAGTTTGCACCCACACAGACACACAAAGTATAGAGTACTGTTTGAGTAGTAGTTTTACCATTAATTCACATAGTACAACACATCAAGGACAGAGATCCTACATGGGGAGTAAGTGCACAGTGACTCCTGTTGATTTAACAATTGACACTCTTATTTATGACATCAGTAATCACCTGAGGCTCTTGTCATGGGCTGCCAAGGCTATGGAAGCCTCTCGAGTTTGCCAACTCTGACCTTATTTAGACAAGGCCATAGTCGAAATGGAAGTTCTCTCCTCCCTTCAGAGAAAGGTACCTCCTTCTTTGATGGCCTGTTCTTTCCGCTGGGATCTCACTCACAGAGATCTTTCATTTAGGTTGTTTTTTTGCCACAGTGTCTTGGCTTTCCATGCCTGAGAAACTCTCATGGAAACCCAAGTTTCTTAACAAAGAATTCCTCATTCTTTGCTTTGCATGGAATCGGAATTGTTAAAAATTACATCAGTGATGCCTCTGCTTATTTGTTTGTTTTTGCTGAACTTCATAGTTTCAGAGCTGGAAGCAGGGGTGGTTCAGTGACCTAGCCCTTCTCATTGCCGATGCCTTTTATGATTGACTCTGTGTTACCCAATCTGCGCCCTTAGATGTGAAAAGTACTGCAGACAAAATGTTTGTGACCTTGTGCACCACAGGATGTCTGCCTGTGACAAAATTTATTCTCCTAGGTTCCAATAAAATGCGATGGCTCTTGGGTTAAAGAATGCAATATATGTGAATGAGCACATCACAAAGAAGAAAGGGAAAATTTTGTTTTAATAGAAGGTTCAAATATATTTAAGCTACTTTTCTTTTTTTAAAAAGATTTATTTGAAAATCAGAGTTATATAGAGAGAGGAGAAGCAGAGAGAGAGAGAGAGAGAGAGAGAGGTGTCTTCCATCCGATGGTTCACTCCCCCATTGGCCGCAATGGCTGGAGCTGCGCTGATCCGAAGCCAGGAGCCAGGAGCTTCTTCCTTGTCTTCCATGTGGGTACAGGGGCCCAGGAACTTGGGCCATCTTCTGCTATGTTCCCAGGCCATAGCAGAGAGTTGGATTGGAAGTGGTACAGCTGGGACTTGAACTGACAACCATGTGGGATGCTGGCACTGCAGGCAGCGGCTTTACCCACTATGCTACGCGCTGACACCTGGATTGACTTTTATACTTGTAAATATTATGTTGAGCTTCTGAATCTACATGTTAAGTCTGGATTTGTTTAATGCTGTTTTAAAATGATGGATAATATAAAATGTAATGTTATTGCTGGTATATTTTTTTAAAATTTATTTTCTCCCAAAGAAATCTTTTACTTAAGGAATACAGACTTCATGCATTTCATAAGTACAACTCTAGGAATATAGTGATTCTGTCCACCATACTTGCCCTCCCACCCACTCTCTCACCCCTCTTTTTCCTCCCTCTCCCATTCCCAGTCCTAATCTCCACAATATCCATTTTTGATTAGCTTCATACACAGAAGATCTGGTATATGTTTAATTGCTTACATTTTCCATGTAAACTCTTCTGGAAAGTAAAATATTATATATTATCACTATGTTGCCAACTTAAGACATCTAATAATTTGTACTGGAAAATTTTTTGAAAAAAAATTTTTAATTCTCAAGCCTAGTCTCCCAAGTGGGTGTCAGGTATCCAACTACTTGAGCCATCATCTACAGCCTTCCAGGTTGTCCATTAGCAGGAAGCCAGAACGGGAAGCAGAGCTGGGAAGCAGACCCAGCTTGACATGGGATGTAGGCATCCAAAGCAGTGTCTTTTTTTTTTTTTTTTTTTTTAGTTTGACAGAGTTATAGACAGTGAGAGAGAAAGAGAAAGGTCTTCCTTCCATTGGTTCACCCCCAAATGGGAACTGCACTGATCTGAAGCCAGGAGCCTTGTGCTTCCTCCCAGTCTCCCGTGTGGGTGCAGGAGCCCAAGCACTTGGGCCATCCTCCACTGCTTTCCTGGGCTGCAGCAGAGAGCTGGACTGGAAGAGGAGCAACTGGGACTAGAACCTGGTGCCCATATGGGATGCTGGTGCCACAGGCAGAGGATTAGCCAAGTGAGCCACGGCGCTGGCCCCCAAAGCAATGTCCTAACCACTGTACCAAGCACCTGGTTTCTAGGATCATGATGAGTCCACATTGTGGGGAAAAATTCCAAAAAGTTAGGAACCAGATTTTTTTCCCTTATAACAATGTTAGTGTAAAAATAAAGAAATTAATACATTTTAATACTGTAGAATCATCATGAATTTTTCACATGTAGCAGATACATGAGATGTAAATTTATTACAAATATAGTGGTAATACATTTTTTTAAAGATTTATTTATTTATTTGAAAGTCAGAATTACAGAGAGAGGTAGAGACAGAGAGGTCTTCTGTTGGCTGGTTCACTCCCCACTGCGCCGATCTGAAGCCAGGAGCCAGCAGCTTTTTCTGGGTCTCCCACATGGGTGCAGGGCCCAAGGATTTGGGCCATCTTCTACTGCTTTCTCAGGCCATAGCAGAGAGCTTGATTGGAAGTGGAGCAGCTGGGACTTGAACTGACACCCATATGGGATGCCGGTACTTCAGGCCAGGGCATTAACCTGCTGCACCACAGCGCTGGTCCCAGTGGTAAAAAATTTTGACAGAAAAATATCTCTCAAGAATATCTCTTTCTGATATTGCTCTTGATGTAATTGTATTTAATGTACCAAGTTTTTCGACTAATTTGTCTACTTAAGAGTACTTTAGAGTACTCTATCTGTAGAATCCATTCAAGTCAGAGACAGTTCACAAAGCTATGATTTTTAAAGAACTAATCTGTACTATGACACCAAAATTTGATTAACAAGAAAACAATCCATTAATTTGTTCATGTTGATATCATGAAGAAAAATCTTCCTTTTTCTTATGTATTCACTGAGCTGTGTAGATGATGCCGTAAGTGTGTTGTAATGCTTCTGGAGTCCGTTCCTTTGGGACTTGTTTTTCTTCAAGAATAAGAGTTCAACTGATAGTTTGATTTCTGTTTCATTTTGATTTTATTTCTAGTTTATGTTTTTCTAACTTAAAAGATCAGTGTCATTGCTTTCAGTGTGCTATCTTCAGTTTAAACTTTTTTTAGTGGTAGTCAAGAATTATTGGATTGAGTAGTTTTCAAAAGTTCCTGGTACATTTCTGACTTTAGAAATCTGGGATAGGAATCCATTACCATATGCATATACACTATTTTTTGAGCCTCTTCAAAACATGTCTGAGTGGGTTCTTGAATGTTCCTGATGATAGTTTCTCTAGTTGAACTGTCAATGTTGATCTGAAAGGTGAAATTACAGGCAGAGCGTAAGTAAACATAATTGAGGATAGGCATATATTATGAAAGGTTTTATTTATTTCTCCCTCTTTCTTTTCAGAGGAATAAAATAATTTTGTTTGCAGATTTTTGTATCTTAAAATGATTTATAAGAGATAAACCTCTGGCTTTTTAAGTGTAAATGTCTATCTCCATATCCCAAAGGGATGAAAAAACCATAAGGTCCAAGACCAGGGAGGTCTCAGAAGCCGTTGCTTAGTTGGAGGATGCAGGTGGTTTGTCAGCGGCAGTCTCCAGGCAAGGAATTTAGGAGATGGAGGTTTCTTTCAAAGGAATACGGAAGTTAGTGCTTTTAAAAATAGCTTCCTTAATAGTCACAAGTGTTGGTTTAACTGAATATGTCCTAAAATGGGAAGATAGTAGCAGTGGAGAATAGAGGGGAGATGTGGTCATTTCAGTAAACCAAGTAATTTTCAGACAAGACTTTTGGGGAATTAATAAAAAATGTAGAGCTGTCCTGAGTAATAGAAATTGCATAAGCTGTTCTACTTATCCTCGTAATGGCAGTTTTATTTCTCCTTTTTTTTTTTTTAAGATTTATTTATTTATTTGAAAGTCAGAGTTACACAGAGAGAGAAGTAGAGGCAGAGAGAGGGAGGTCTTCCATCTGCTGGTTCCCTCCCTGATTGGCCGCGATGGCCGGAGCTGTGAATAGCAATTTTCATTGCTCATTCTCTGCCCACCAAGAACAGCTCAGTGTCTCTTTCTCTTGGGACTTTGTTTTCTTCAGGTGACTGGATGTGACCTGCAGTAATACCGATGTGAGTGTCTTCTGGGCCTGCTTGTTTCAATCCAAATGAATTATGGTTTGGTGGCTCAGCTGTGGTGGCATACACTGCCCACACTGTGGGGGATGCCCACAGCCTATTTATGGTATTTGTAACTCTTTGCTGGTAAGGCTGGTTTTTCTTACAAAGACTTCTTTTTTTTCTTTTTAATGTTTGGGAATTATGGAAAGTTAATGGAGAGAGACTTTGGAGCTAGATGGCCTAACATTGAATCTTCATGTTACCACTTCATGTAGTGTGACACTGGGCAAATTAGTTAACTTCTCAGATTCTTAGGTTTCTGTCTATCAGGTAAGTTTGGCAATGCTGAATTTACATCATTTTAGGAGAGACTTGGTGTACAACACCGGCCATGTAGGATGATTGACTGATGTTAGTGCCCACCCCCCAGTGATATACAGATTTTCCTTTCCTATCATTGTTGAGTGGTTACCTCTCTAGGTGAGTCTGGTTGGATGTAAATCCTGTAGAGCTTCTTTGTCCTAGAAATCCTTCTCACTCGTGAGTTTATTTTCTTGTACGTTTCACATGCCATCCAGAATTCAATGTTCTCATCACTGTGCTCCATTTTTAGGTATGCTGAATAGACTACTGGACCATCTAGAAGTAGTAGAGGTAAGAGTTTATTTTCTTGGGTCAAAATAATCAAAAAAATCTAAGCAGTATTTAATGCAATTAAAAACAAAAGTCCAAACAAAAGCTCCCAAATTATTAACAAGCAAATATTTTTTAGGTGTATATGTGCCTATCACACACTTAGATCCATGGATCTGAAGCATGTTTTGACAGTGTCAGTCATGTGTAAGGTCATCTATATTTTGAAACTCAAAGAAAAATGTTCACCTGTGGATGGGTGTAGGGCAGATAGGACAGGAAATGTCCCAGGACAGAGAAGGAACTTCAGCTGGACAGGTAGACAGAGCTCTGATTATAAACTGCATGGAAAATAGAAGAGCTCACATTGAAATGGAGGATAAGATCAGGGTTTAGAATCTAAATAGGCAGATCAAGATTGGAAGAAACTACCCAAGTCATATAGGAGTAATGCTCTTTTTTTTTTAAAGATTTTATTTATTTATTTGAGAGGTAGAATTACAGACAGTGAGGGAGAGACAGAGAGAAAGGTCTTCCCTCCGTTGGTTCACTCCCCAAATGGTTGCAACGACCGGAGCTGTGCTGATCCGAAGCCAGGAGCCAGGAGCTTCTTCTGGGTCTCCCATGAGTGTGCAGGGGACCAAGGACTTGGGCCATCTTCCACTACTTTCCCAGGCCACAGCAGAGAGCTGGATTGGAAGAGGAGCAGCCAGAACTAGAACCGGCGCCCACATGGGATGCTGGCGCCACAGGCAGAGGATTAACCTACTGCGCCATGGCGCCAGCCCCAGGAGTGATGCTCTTATCAGGTGTTTCTCAGTGTCCAATCAGAGCAGGAAAATATGGGTAGATGAAAACTTGAGCTTTATATTCATGGTTTATGGTTCCAACCAGAAGTAAGGAGCTAGGCAAGGCATGCAGTTCATTTAGGATGCTGGAAACTATTTCAGAATTTTATACAGGGCAGTGGTATGCTCAGCATGACCATCAGATGACTCTTGATGCCAGAGGTGGTTAAGTCTGGCTCTGCTCTTCATATGACTTTCTAGAATGTGTAGATAAAGAGAGTGAAATGAGCTTTTCTGTCTGAGATACTATTTTGTAGGTGCCAGCATTTGAAGTAGAGGGCTAGGTGATCTCCCACAAATCTAGCACATGAATCAGAATCCTTAGAGGGCCAAGTATTCCTCCAGTTCAAGATGAATACTTTGAGATGGATAGTAAACATTTTTATTTGTAAAGAGTTATTTATCTGAAAGGTAGGGTTACATACAGAGAGGGAGAGACAGAAAAGTTCTTCCATTCACTAGTTCACTCCCCAAATGGCAGTGATGACTGGACCTAGGCTGATCTGAAGCCAGGAGCCAGGAGCTTCTTCTGGGTCTCATACATGGGTACAGGGGCCCAAGGACTTGGGCCATCTTTTGCTGCTTTCTCAGGCCATAGCAGAGTGCTTGGTTGGAAGAGTAGCAGCTGGGACACTAAGTGGTACCAGTATGGGATGCTGACACTACATGTCAGCATCTTCATGTCAGCCTACTACGCCACAGTGCCAGCCCCAATAGTAACATTTTTTGGTGACTGGGGTGTCTTTTGTCACATCTGAGAAGCTGAATTGCTAAATGATAAAATGACAATGTGACTTTCAATTGATGTAAACAGAAATCTGTGAGAAGGCATGCTGAATATGTGACCACTTAAAGATAGACTTAAAATAGATTTTTTAAAAATAAAAGCTGTTTGTATAGGGGCCAGCGGTGTGGTCCAGTGGGTTAGGCCAGTGCTTGCATTACCAGCATGCCAAATTAGAGTACAAGTTTGAGTCCTGGCTTTTCTTTTTTTGTTATTTGACAGATTTACACAGTGAGAGAGAGAGAGAGACAGAGAGAAAGGTCTTCCTTCCATTGGTTCACCCCCCAAATGGCTGCCACGACCGGAGCTAGGACGATCCGAAACCAGGAGCTAGGTGCTTCCTCCTGGTCTCCCACGTGGGTTCAGGCGCCCAAGCACTTGGGCCATCCTCCACTGCCTTCCTGGGCCACAGCAGAGAGCTGGACTGGAAGAGGAGCAACCGGGACTAGAACCTGGTGCCCATATGGGATGCTGGTGCCGCAGGCGGAGGATTAACCAAGTGAGCCACGGCGCCGGCCCCTGAGTCCTGGCTTTTCTGCTTCTGATCCAGCTCCCTGCTAACCTGCCTGGGAAAGCAGCCAAAGGTGGCCCAAATATTTAGGCCCCGGCCACTCATGTGGGAGATCTGGATGGAGCTTGGGATTCCTGGCTTCAGGCTGGAGCAGCCTAGTCTATTGTGGATGTGAAGTGGAAGATCTTTTTTTCCCACTCTCTCTATCACTGTGCATTTCAAATAAATAAATAAGTTGTATAAAAAGCATACATAATTTCATGTATTTGACTTGAGGAATTTGGAGACCATTCATGAGACTGTTACCCTAGTCATTGTCATAAACATACCCATCACCCCCCAAAGCACAGGATTTTCTCAAAAAGAATTTTTCAAACAGATTTATTTATTTATTTGAAAGAGTTACAGAGAGAGAAGGAGGAGGGAGGAGGGAGAGGGAGAAAGACACTTCCATTTGCTGGTTCATTGAATGGCTCCAATGACCAAGGCTGAGCCAGATTGAAGCCAGCAGCTTGGAGCTTCATCTGAGATCATCTTTCACATGAGCGGAAGGAGCCCAAGTACTTGGGCCATCTTCTGCTACTTTCCCAGACCATTAGCAGGGAACTGGGATCAGAAATGGAACATCTGGGATATGAATCGGCACTCATATGGGATGCTAGCATCACAGGTGGTGGCTTGACTTGCTGTGCCAAAATGCTAGCTCCTCCCTCCTCTCCTTATTGGCGGCTTATACTTCCATGTCCCATTTATTTCACCATTGGCAATTGGACATGTATTAACTAATGAAACACATATGAAAGTGCCATGTACTGGTCCAAGAAGAAGGTTTAAGAATCCTTATGTGGTTCTGCACACTCCCAACATTACAAAGTACATTCTAGAAAAGAGCTATTCCTTTAGTCTGAAGGCCAGAATGAAGACATTGACCAGAACTGGAGCTAACTCCAGTTGTAATATATTCTGCTTGAGAAAGGAACCTTTCTTATGTAAATCATTGGGATTTTAATGCCATTAATTACTGTATCATATCCTACCAAAATCTGACCTGGACTGCTTGAACCTGTCTGAAATTTCAGATATGATTCTGATGTATAGAGGAAGTAGACTTGGTATTTACAGAATTTTGTCTACATTAGGCTAATTTTTTTCTGAGCTTGCTACAAGTTACCCAAAATGCATTGTTATAAAGTATTCCAGGAATCATAGTATAATTATTAAAGTCAGAACTGGAATGTTCAATTTAGAATTTCTATTGACTCATACAAGTTTATTACAATATGGAAAAGCCTTTTCCAAATCAGGAAGTGTAACCCAGTGTTGTTCATTATGAAGTTTTAAATGACTCATTCCTGAATGTTATACTCAAGAGAATGAGACTTTACTGGAGAAGTGAGTAAGTGATGAGATACATTGAAATTGGGAGAAATAGAAGAAACAGGTTTATGTCATGTGTGCTTCTTCCTGGAAGAATGAGGGTAGTACATTTGGGGCTGCCTTGCTTGCTCTTTTAAAACTTAGCACTGAAATCAGCATTTCTATGACACACGAGATGACACATGGCAACATTCTTGATGTAGAAGGGAAATGTGGGATTTCTCTTGCCTGAGTTAGAGCCATGGCTCGTCTCTTCTAGGACTGTGCTCTATGCAAGGAAGCATGTCTTAAACCATTCATACAATAAAGGTGAGCAATGTTGCAGTATTCTTTAGGAGTGTGTCTAAATTAATTTTAATCCCTTTTATTTCCAGTCTGTATCACTAGGGATAATGAGTTCCATAATTCTACCAGGATCTGTATGAAGTTTTATACTAAGCCTTCTGTTTTATTAAATTCTCTGGTTTGGCTTCCATGATATTAATCATTTCTGATTTTTTCGTACCTTTCCTTTATTAGCGTTGTTATAAACATAGCTTAAAGTGGTATATGCTGTTTTTAAAGCAGAAAACATTTAACAATAAGTAACAACCATTGATAAAATATTTGATATATTTCTTTTTATTCTGTCAATATTTTGTTCATGTATAATAGCCTGTCTAGCTACCATTCATTGATTCACACATTTACAGAATGACACCCAAATTACCTTATTGGCATTGTAGTATGAAAGCAATTTTGTATCAGTATCACTCTTTCATGCTTAATAGCATATAGTGAACACTTTCTCCTTTTTTACTTAAAATTTTTCTTTGAGAAGCAGATAAACTGAGAGAACAGAGAGTAAGACACAAACATACACACATACACATGGTGAGGGGGGAGAGTGAGAAGGAGGAGAAAGGGAGGGAGAGAGCAAGAGAGCGAGAGAGAGCGAAAGCGCTCTTATTTCCTGGTTCACTTCCCGAATACTCCCAATGGCTGGGGCTGGGCTTGGCTAAAGTTAGGAGCCTGGAAGTCAATCTGGGACTCTCACACAGGAGGCAGAAATCCAACTACTTGAGCTATTACCCCTGTCTTTTAGGCTGCATATTAGCAGTGAGCTGGAATTGATAACAGAGCCAGAGCTCTAACCCAGGCTCTCTGGTATGGGATGCAGGCATCTTAGCCAGTGTCTTAACTGCTAGACAAATGCCCACCTTGATTTTTATTTTTTAATGACTGTATAATAGTTTATTGAAGGGCTAGGCTGTATATAGTTGTCTCTTAGTATTTACAGAGCACTGGATGCAGGCCATGTATGGAAATCAAAATCTAAGGTTGCTCAAGTCCATTATATAAAATGGTATAGTGTTTGCCTTTAACCTACACACATCTCCTCTATTATACTAACACATTTCTAGAATACACATACAACCCAATTCAGTATAAATGCTATGTAAATAGGTGTTATACTGCATTCTTTAGGAATTATGATAAGAAACAA